TTTAGTCTCATCAAGTACATATAGCACAAGGACTGAAATTCTCGTCATCTCAGTAAAACGAGACAAAGGAAAGTACAAGTGCAAGCAGTTCGTGCATGGTAGCTTCCCATCAAGCCTCTGAGGAGAAACTGAAAATATCACACTACACTCCCAAGTAAATCCTTACCCGTAGTGTTGATTTTTAATTTCACGACTTACTCAGTTACGCACCGCAAGCTGTCCGAGTCCAGAAGCTTCCCAAGACCAGCAATTAACGTCATTCAGTGGCAGGCATTCCTCTAATCTCTATCTTAGGCACGTGCTCACTCATACGGTCCACTATTCAGAGGCAACGGCAACACGTGTCAACATCACGTCGCAGACAAGAACTGTAGCGTTCGTTCAGAAGACAACAAACGGTGATAACCTCTCAAGTGGCAATATTCAATAAGTGTCAATAACCTATCTCTTTTCACAGTAAATCACTATTTCACCCGTTACGTCCAGGGAATAAGGAATCTATCCAATAGAAATATATCGCAACGCCACATTCATTATTGAGAGTAATAAAGGTTCATTTATAATCTCCTCAATAATAATCCTTAAATTGGAAAGTAGATGGAATAAACAGCAATAAGAAATGCATGTGTTAATTATTGAATCAGTGCATAAACCCCTCCACTTGTCCACGCATTCTCCCTCACAACATCTAGTGGTTTTCTTAGTTAATTCTAAACAAATATCACTAGATGAAACTTCCAAATAAAAATGGCGTCCATATTAAAAAGAAAAATTATTCTAATAAAATCATTTCTATTAAGTTTACACTAAAATACAGACGATCAATATTAGTTCATCAATGTTGCTACACCCGTATTCCATAAATTACAATAGATAAATTCTTAATTTCCTTGTCACATGTAGCCAATTTATACCTACTGATGACATTGAATAATATACCATAAACAATCTGTTTCAGTCGCTCTATCTTTTAAGTTTAATGTATGCATTTATAAGATATATACTAATTATGTATGCATCTGATTTTTCACTTGTTTCTAAATCACAATAAAGTATCTAGATTACCTGTTGTGATACTGACATTTATTATGCTCTTTTCTATAGTGTAAATTAATTCATATGGATTATAGTAATTATATTTTAATAAATAAATTATAATTTTTCTGAATTTATTTAATTTAATATTATAAATTATATAAATTTAGTATATGCTCAGAAAATAGAATAAATACTAAAGCGTTGATTATTTATTTATGTCCAATTATTTCTCGGAGTTTATCATGTTATTTCCTTTATTTTTTGGATTTCAAATTTTATTACTGTGTTGAAATATTAAAAATTTTGAGTTACTCTTAAATATCTTTAGTTCTCAATCTTTTAATAAGTCTTTTAATTATGTTTGTTGACTGTCTTACTACAATAACAATTAAGTCTACAACGTTATTATATAGTTATCATATAATGCATTCCTTAAGTTAATGCATAGTTCATTTGTTTAATGTTATATGGTATTCAAAATTGTAATTATACTCCCAAGTAATTAGAAATTTTGAAAACTAGCGTTAAGAGTTCCGAAAAATGCAATCCCTTGGGTATTTAAAGAAAAAACTCATAAACACATCTAGCGAGAACATGCTATCAAATGTCTATCGAAAACACGTCATAAACAAATTCAATGAAAACACTCCATAAAGTATCAATCGAAAACAGGCCTTAAAGCATCTGGCGTAAACAAGTCATAAAGATAGTCGGATGACACATGCCAGATGCCTCACTCACAACCACGCTACACCTAACCCTCGCAACACTGACCGTGCACAATGCGCATGATCGTGAGATTTACATGCAACGCTTCCTCTAATCGCATGAGTTCAAATGTTTACAAAACATACATTGTAAACATGGTTTTCTATTTTTGCGCAATGCGCATGAGATTTACATGCGACGCTACTATGATGGAGGGAAGAGCGCGGCATCAAGTCCCCTATTATGGAGGGGATTCGAGTAAGAACCGATCTCATTGGAGTCTCCATTATGAAAAGACGTACCGGTGGGAGACCCCACCACTTAAGAAGCACTTTGACTGAATATACCATAAACTAAAGCAGACTTCTGATTGGACACACTAAGAACGAGAGATCTTGTCGACGCCATAAACTACAAGAAAGCTCTCATTAGAGACGCCAAAAAGGAGGGAATTCTCGCCGACCACCGCGTAACCGAGAGAAGCTCTTAAAAAGACGACGCCGGCAAGGCCCAATCACTTATCTTATCGAAAAAGAACAAGTTAAGTAAAACGCACTCAAGCAATCAGAAAATCCAAGTACATATAATAACGCTAAAAGTATTCTATTTACTATAAGTGCGAGAAAAAAGGAAAAAGGAACTAAGAAAGAACAGTTCGCACAGAATACATAATTATAACCTACAAGGAGCCGCTCGAGGCAAATTCAGCAAACAATACAACGCATAGCCAAAGCACAATGTGCAGAATTAAGAGGTAAAGTTCCATTCCTAATTAATACATAACTATATCAAGCTATATGCACCAATCTGCAGATACGTAAAGCTATCTGCAAAACATACTACAAGCAATTCAAGCAACGCCACGTGCCATTATACAGGGAAGCACGGGGGTTTACGACCTTGTTCTTCTGCGTGCATTATTCGACCATCACGTGCATTATATATAGCGGACATCAACTTCTTCCTGTACATGCAACGCACATTACCGCTCTGTGGCAATAGTAATACAACTCAAGAAACGAAAGCATTCGAACATCAACTAAAAATCATTATAATACAACTAATGTAATTATCGTAATAAACTACAACAAATAACGAAACTATTTATTATTGAATACATTCACTATCTTGTCCACTAGCCTGAAATCCTCCTACCAACCATCTTGGAGTTCACACCTAACTTTAAATATTTGGCCCTCCTTGCCCGGTACTCTATTTTTAGACATATGGGTATTACTAATTCCATGATGATTGAATAAGTGCTTTCTGATTTAGCATTACAATATAGTGAGTAGTTACTTTCTAAATTTGTACACAAGTACACATCTTAGCATTTCACGTATAAGTTTTGAATAGAATTTTCATTACGAGGTTATACAGATCAAATTAAGTTCTTGTAAATGAGTAATTTTTTGCTACCATTACAATTATCCTTTCACAATTTGAAATTTGCTTACAATTAATCTTTTTATTAATTTACTTGTTAGTTAACGCATATATTATATTTCAATACATTATAGTTATTCTGGTTATGCATCTTTACTCACTGCGAGTTGCATTATACTTGGCATATTCATTATACTTCCTCTAATCGTTTCACTTATTATCAAATGCTGTATATTCATTAGTAATGATCTACTACTGTTAAATATCAAGTACTTTAATGAATAATATACGTCATAATTATTTATAACTCTTCTGATATAGTATCTGTACAAATAATCATTTATGAATTATCTTGCTATTCAACTTTTAAAGGAATTTTAACATCTTTTCAGCTAAAAAGTAATTTGTAAAGTAATTCTTTACTAATTTTTTTAACTAGTCCTATTTTTACAATTATATGATCTATGGACACTATGGTCTTTTGTTAATTACTTTACATACAATATATATATATATATATATATACACAATATTATTTTTGTTTTACTTTTTAAATATTTTTTTATGCATAATATTTGCATTATGTATATAATTTTGTCACTTATGATAGTATTGGATATATATAAATAAAAAATATTTATAAAATAAAAAATTAAAAATAAAAGAATATATTTAAATAAAATTAATTAAATCACTACACAATACATAAATAATTGAATAAATATCATTTGTACATATTCAGATAATTTTACAAAGTGTAATAGAATTTTTTGTAATATTTTAAATAATTTATCTGGAATGTAGCCAAATTCTATTTATAATTCTGTTTATAATTAATAAAAATTTTTTTTCAATTTATTAAAACATTCTTTTTACATATTGACTAACATTGAGTTACTGTTTAAATACTTATCATTCAGCAAATTGAAATGCTAAATGTTAACAAAACAGTTCGTTTATCATATATAAGTGAATTACTTTTTAAAAATAATATTTGTTTTCATCAATAATTTGATGTTTAAAAATTATACATTCTTATGAATTTGAACTATTTATATATTATTTATCAATGAAAATCTACTTAAATTTAATTTCAGACAAAATATCTATAAAATATTAGTTTATGATTTAAATATTAAATAACTTTTCACATTTATCAAAAATAATTAGAATTTTTATTTATGATTTATACTAAACAACGATGAAATAAACTAAACAATAAGGTTAAAATAAATTTCTTCTACTTAAATAAATTTTATAAAGTTTTTGTAATATATTTACTTACAATTTTGTCATTAAATAACAGCAAATATTTTCATTTTTAAATCATTGTTTTCAAAAATATCTATTAATTGATAATTAAGTTCAAATAAAGATTGATATGTACAGCAAATTTGAATAACTAAAAATAAAATTTTATTAGTATGACAAAATATATCATTTTAATATTAAATTTAATTTTAGCTAAGAAAGAGTTTATTTGAAAAAATTTGCTATTATAATTATTCTATTATAATGTTATTATTTTTTAAATTATATAATGCAAATTTGACTAAACTTTAAATATTAAAAAAAAATTTGTTATATAATATATTGTATTAAACTATTTGGAAATGATTTTTTATTACTTCTGTATTCAGAATTATACTACCCTTTCTATATGTTCTCTTTTATGATATAATTTTTAATGTCGTTCTTCATTAGCATATTATTTTATGTAATTATAAATTTTATTTTAAAGGTCAATAATATTACGTAAACTTGCTTATTAGTACAAAACTTGATTTTCACTTTTTTTTATTAAATTTACTTATTAATTTATAATTTGCAACTCATTACATACCGATTAATGAATAAAAAATAATTACCTATCCAATTTAATTTTTGAATAATCAGAAGAAAACAATATTACAATTTTCCGTATATTACATTATCTTTAATCAATGAAAAATAATTAGCACTTTAAAGAACATAGATTTCGCACCTATTTGAGATTTACGTAATAGAGGCCTAAATTATGGGTTCTTTCAAATGCGGGCAATTTCAATGTAAAGTTCTACAATTTTAAACAACTATAAGTAACAACAAAACATTTTCTGAAACATAATTATAAAATATTTTTATGGGTAAATTCAACTTCAAATAATTTACTTATGTTATTAAGTTTCATATTTGTAGTGATATATTAAAAAAAAATATTTTATATATTTCTTTATTAATGTTAACTAAAATCATATTTGAATGTGGTTGCTAATTTTATATATTTGGTTAAATATTTTGTATTTAAATTTAAAAGTTATAAATATTCTTATTTATACCTAAATATTTGTTAAATTAAATTTAATATTGTATATTTTAATAAATTAAATTTTATTTAATAAAAATTATTTGATAGAGTGTAATATGGTGTTCTTTAGAATTATATCAACTTTTATTTTATTACATGACATTCATGATGAAAATAAGTACATAAAAACGGATGTTATTACTAAAAATCTAGAAGGTTTAATTTGTAAATATAATTTTCTTTATTTATTTAATAAATTATTTATTCATAAGTTTAACCTTATTTATTCTATTTTAATTAGTAATTGCATATTATATATATTTTGTTTTAAGTAGTAACTGATCATTAATTTAATTTTAATATTTATTTATTTTTTAATTAAAAAAAACAATAAATCCACAGAATAGATAAATAGATAACATTTGAGTGAAGATCTTCACAAACATTGACAATGAGATTAATTTTATTCAATCTATAATAATTACGATTATTATACATATATGATTAATTTTTTAAACAATTCATATTAAAAAATTTAATTTCTGTATAATTTATACCTATTATTTTAATTACTTATTTATAAATTATGCAGATACCAATTTATATATATATATATATATATATATATATATATATTGAATTATAATAATGAATAAACAATTTTTTAGAATTTAATTTCAATATATTTGATATTCATAAATAAAAAATATAAATAAAACTTTTACGCAACATGTATATATTTTCCAAAAGTAATGTAAATTAAAATAATTAAGTTTGTATTGCTAGTTAAACTGTTTATATTGTATTTTATATATTTTATATTATATATATACATGCATATCTGGTATTATCATATATTTATAAGTGATTTAATTATTTTAATTAAATTTTTTCTATAATATTTCATAATTTATATATTTTATATAATATTTCTATAATATTTACTATTTAGTTTTTATATACATGTACGAGACAGTGTAGACTATTCTTAAATTGGAAGGTTTTGCTTGTTAAATGAGGTGATTAAACTAGTTTTATTAAAAGATTTTGGTAGTACAACTATAATATCATTAAGGCAAAAGGTAAAAGTAGATCATTTAATTAAAACTTGGATAATTAGATATCCACATGAATTGAAAATTATAGAGGCTTTTGAAATGATAAAACGCTGCCAAATTGTTTAGGTAAAACTATATAAATAATTTTGTCATTTAAAATATGTGCAGTTATTTTGACAATTTTTTTAACAAACTCCTTAACCTATAATAGTGAACAATTCAATATTTGATAACGAGAAGTAAAAATACATAAAGTATTGAATTATTCAATATTTGATAACAAGAAGTAAAAATACATAAAGACAATTTTTTTAACAAACTCCTTAACCTATAATAGTGAACAATTCAATATTTGATAACGAGAAGTAAAAATACATAAAGTAAAATTCATTAAGACAGTGCTTAAAGGAAGTAAAAAATATTTTTCTTACATTACATTTTTAATCTATTTTGTAAAAAGTAATACGAACTTGATTATTAGTAATTAAACTTAACAAATACATTTTTTTACTTAATATTATATAAAGTATATTTTATAGATAAATTAATATCATGAAAATTTTGTAAAAATTGAATTTTGTATAAACTTTTAAACATGATATATCACTTAAAGAAATAGAATTAATTCAGTAAAATTATATAATTTTTATGGAAAATTTGGAATAAATAATTATTGTTTAATATTATATATTAATGTTTTACATATATTTTTATAGAATGACAAATATACTTGATAAAATAAATGCCGAGTAATAGAATTAAAACTAAACAACAATGTAAAATTATTGTTAGATTGTTGTATTCCGATAGAAGCTGATACAGAGGATATTTAATTAATGAAAGAATTTAATAAATCTATTAAATATTAAAAAAAACTATTAAAAAAATTTTTTATGAACCAGTAGAATGAATATATGTTAGACAGGTCATTAACACAAAATCAAATAAAACAAAGTTGATATAAATTTTTATTATAGTTAAAATAAAGACAATAAAGATTTATATGTTTGCAATAAATATGTGAATTTACATTCATAATCATACATGATCAGTCTTTGATTCTATCAAATTTAAAGTTGGAAACTCAGCAAACTATTGTTCTAACTATTCCAAATTTATAGTTTTGTGAGAAAGTAATTTTTTTAATACTAAAAAAGATGTTAAATATATACATATGTGTTTGTGAATGCATTAGATATTTTTCACACATGCTCCATAGAGTTTAATGTAAATAATGTTTAAAAAATTGTATATATATGAATTTTTTTTTATTTTTTATTTTTATTGATTTATTTTTTTATAAAAATAAAATTTGTATGTGAATTTTGTTAACCAATAATGATAATAATGACTCCTTGTGATTTTTGGAAATTTCTTAAAGCATTTTAATATTAATTTTTTTTTTCATTTTACAGAATTGTAAATGTAGATTGCATTACCATTTGGAATTCAATTACTAATGCCCAATCCTTTTTCAATCGCATCAATTACATCAAATTATGTTGATTGAAAATTCAAATGAGGTACATATCAAAATATATTTTTTAGTCATATTTTTTTTGTATAATTTAAAATTATTGATTGCTTAAATGTTGATTAAAATTTTTATTATATTTTAATTATATTAAAAAAAATAATATTGAATTAAATTTGTATTAAATAATAAATATAAACAAATCTGTATGGTTATAACATGACGAAACGTATAGTCTAGTTAGAACTATAAATGTATTGTATTGTTCGAGATTGCGAGAACATTTCTTGCCATAACATCCCACGGTCATTGGATACTCGATACGGTCAATACATCTGGAAAACACTTGTGAATAGTTCTTTTATTTATTCTCGCTTATCTAAAAACGTGCTCATGCTTTTCCTGTGCAGTTAAACGATCTTGTTGATTACTGCCAAGAAGACGTAGATTCTGAAAGAGTATCAGTATTCAGGATTGAACCACCCAACAAAAAATAACAATTTATTGTTTGTTATAATACGATTCCGATACATTATATTTAGATTAAGGCGCAATATTTGAACTATACGTTACAAAAATTCACTGGAAATTTAGCTGCGCACTTTGTCCGCATAGCAACAAAAGAAGCTTCTCGAATTTATCAAAGCTTGCTTCCAGAGAATTCACTAAAGCCTCCAAGAATTTATAACACCAAATGTACGCAATCGTATTTAAGAAGCAGCGAATGGAGAAGAAAAGCAGTCTTGTTGAATAACTCAAGTGAAACTAGTGCCAGTCATAACAGTGAAAGTTGAACTCGTCTAAGGGAATCCGTGTAAGGCATATTCATTATTTACATTGATTATTCTATTATTATTATTATTGCTGGCCAGCTATCGGTGCGTCTCCCGCAACGTGACGCTAGTCAGACCGCATTGAGGACAATGACATAGACTGGCATCTCCAGCACCTTATTTATACTACATGTAATTTTCGCGGCCCATGTCTACACTATCGGTTGGACCCTCGCAACTTGATTCTTATCAGACCGCTAAAGAGGACGCCGATACTGATTACTAGACCCCGGCCTAATTCTCATCATCACTACGAGACATTGCCGGTCACGCCACAATAAGTGTTTCTGATCAAACCACAAAAGAGGGCAACAACAATTCGTAATAATCCCCACCACCGCCACTAGCCGAATATCACGCAGTCAATTTAACGTCGATTCAAACGCCTAATTAATCGCGAGCCGAATCTCGCTTAGTACGATTCAAGCGTCGACTTAGCGTCTAAGCATCCACGTGCCGGATATGCCCAGTATAATTTAAGCGTGACTCACACGACACATAACTGTCGAACAAGAAAGACTCCGTTGATTTATAAGCTAGAACCCGTAATTAATACTTCCGAGATACCTTACGAGGCTTGCACTCCCAGACGATATTCCGACTTCATATCAGCTACCTAGTTACTACAACCAACGATTCTCACTATAATTAACAACATCAATATTACTGTAAGAACTACTTAAATAAAGGTCACTAAAACCAATTGTGTTTATTCTGAATTGATGCATTAACCTTTCACTCATGCCCCCCCCCCCCCATCACCATTAAACCGATGGTACGGTCTAATCCATCCACCTTGATCAGCAATGATACTGGTGGTTGGAATTCCAAACAATCAGGTATACGTAAGAATATCAAGTACAAAACATTTCCTAAATTTCATGTATATATATAAATATGAAATGAAGTTTTTAAAATCATATTAAATAGTACTATTGATTATTTTTAGCTTCACTTGAACCTAGTTTTTTGTAAATACTTTTATACAAATGAATTTTAATACTATGAAATGGCAATTCAATGTAGCATTATAATAATAATTACAGAACTTTTGATCGCATTTAATTTTTTAGAGTACTATGTTTCTTATTTATCAAATAAATTAATAGATGCACATAAATATAAATTTATTTTCTGATTTATTCTTAAATGTAATCGTGATAAAATAAATATAAATATAGTTTTTGTATATTTTTTTATACAATTATATACCATTGACAAGGTTATGTTGTAATTTAAATTGTATCATATATGTTTTCATTATTTTATGTATGAGTTTATTATACTTTATAAATAAGTTTTAATTATAGATTTAAATATGATAAAGGTGTTATTTCTTAAACAATACATTTGATAATAAAATGTATTTTGATGGTTTTGTATAAATGGATATAAATTTCATTTATAATTAGACAACTGATTTTAAGTTATCAAAAAATTAAATCAATATTATATTCTATGATATAATCAACTTGATAATTTTAATATTAAAAAAATTTCCAATTTTTAAAGTACACAGTATATTTCTTTATTGTTAATTTTTTTATACAATATTTACATTTTTAACTGAAGTAATTTTTAATCTCATTTATTAATAATTATGAAATATCTGTTTTGACACAAATTAATATTCTAGTACTAATTTCAGTAGCATATTAAATACTGTATTATTCCTACTTTGTCATTGCTTCCATGAACTCTAAAAAAATATAAGATTTTTACTATTTTATACAAATATGTATTCGATAAGAATTATAATTTTCAAATAAGTTTATAATTATTTAATTTAATAACATATTTATAATTGTTTATATATATATATATATATTAATTATTTATTTATTTATTCGTTTTTCAATTTCAATATTTAACAATTACTCTAGTTAGAAAAATTAATAAATGCAGCGATAATTTTGTCAATTTCATATATTGTCACCTTATGTGAATAATCTATTTAATTTCAGATACTGATCATTATCATGCACTGAAAAATGCAGATTTCCACTAGAATCAACATTATTCTAATTTTTAATAAAATTCATTTTTAATCAAATTATATCAACAAATACAAAATCTGGATGAAACATGGTGATGCATTAATATACAAAATAAAGAGCCTGGAAAATTTATAACATATTTTTTATAATTAATCATAACTGTATAATATATTTTTTACAAATTAACATTTATGAAAAGTTTTTTTTTAATATTTATTTATTAATTTAATAAGTTTATTAAATTTTTTTCATATTTTTTACTTCCAGAATTATGAATAAAATAAATAATTTTCTATTAATAAACAAAATGTTTTCTGCAAAATAAGAAAAATTTTTATATATTTTCAATGTGATATATTTCAAATATTTTCAATATTTTCATTATGGAATTAAATTTGTCAAAGAGTAATAATTCAATCTCTTGTATTATAAAAATATTATATTTAATATAAGATTATTCTCTTATATTAAAATCATCTAGCACAAATATAAATATTCAAAAGTATTTTAATAAACAATTTGTTTGAGAATATAAATTGATTATGTTAACTTTTAAATCAAATTATTTATTTTTTATTAATAAAATCAGGAAAAATAAGCTTTTAAAATGAGTGTAGATATAAATTTTACAATATGAAGTTTTTAAACGTAAATGAATTATGTTTGTTATGAACGTGAGTTCTGTTGCCTTTTTGCACTTTCAACTCAATTGAATATAGCTTTACAACTCTTATTGAATATATTACATAAAAAATTATTAAATAATTTTATTGTGATATTTTTTAATTGCGGTAGAATTTTATTGGAATAAAGAGATATAATGAATTGTTAGATAATCACAAGGATAATCATTACTAAAAAAGCATAACAAATTTACTCGAAAATTTATTTAAATCATGGAATTTATTATATTGTATGATTTATTTAAGATAAATTATAAATACTATATAGACAATCAAGACTATAATACTTATATTTTTTATATATAATATAGCATAATGTACAAATGCAGTGAGTGCGATGCATAATTGGAACCATGTCAATAAAATTTATATCAATGTCAACCATGGAATTGAACAAAATTGATAGCTATTTTGAAAAAATTTAAAATATTTGACTTTGAATTTATATATTCTACTAAATATCTTATTAAATAGTCATACAAACACAAAAAAATGATTGCCAGTTGTAGCAGTATCGGTATCAGAGTCAAACTCAAAATCATTAAAAATCATTAGGAAGAATTAAATCGTTATCTAGGAATCTTATAATCTAATATTTGAATATAAGATTTACCGTCGTTTACAAATTTTACTTAAATAAAAAAATGTTTATTTCTATAAGTTTAGATATTATTTATATTTAAATTTATTTTATGTTTATGCAATAAGGAAATTAATAACAAATTTTAATTTGTGATACCATCAAAATCTAAAGTTCCCGATCCATCAGCATCTATTTCATCAATCATCATATCTAATTCTTCGGATGTTAAATTATCGTCTAATTCATGCAGAATATCTCGAAAAACTTCTGTTGTTATATAACCATTTCCTTCTTTATCATATAGTCGAAAAGCTTCTCTTAATTCTGCCTGTATTGCTTCAGTATCTGCATCATCTTCCAAAAATCTTGCAGCCAGATTACAAAAAGTATCAAATCTTATTTCCTTTCTTCCTAAAAATGAATAAATCTATTAATGTATAAATAAATAATTTTATCTATATTTAGTATTAGATTATAATTAATAGTATTTCATAAATATTTAGTAAGTTTTGCATGTTTCTACACATAGTCTAATTTTAAAAAGTCTATATTATCTAAATTTTTTATAATGAAAAACGTTAATGATATAATGTACGGGAATATATGAAGTATAAAAAAAGAGAAGAAAAGAGGGAAATTAGTGGGCATGATAGAAAATTTAAAGAACCGTAGTCAAGGTAAAAGGAAAAAATTGAAATGAAAGATGATGGTAAAATTGCACCACAAGATTTATTCAAGAATGTACATCAGTCATAATGAATATTCCTGTATTAAAACTTTTAGCAACCAAATGTTTTTGATTATTAAATATATTTAATATACAAATGTTATCTTTTTGTAATAAATAAAAAATTAGTATTTATATGCATATATTCTAAGAGTTAAAAAAATAGATGTAAATACAGTTCTAAAAATGTTGTAAGCAAATAATAAAATACTTATAAATTTAAAATATTAGATCAAACCATATTACAAACCTTTTGAGGTCTATTTTTAAGTTTCAAATTTTTTTTAGTTTAAATATGAATATTAATATGAATAAATTTTACTATTAATAATCACATTGATAATGTGTGCTTATTAATCCAAAGGTATCAGAATAAATATGTAATATATGTATGCCATTGGTAGCGAACTTATAAACCACAAATCTTAGTAAATTATAAAAAAATCTTTACAGTAATTCATATAATATTAAACAATTATATAAATACCTATATAAAGAGAACAGATTTATTTAATGTATTTGCAATAAATCAAGGACATAGTATGTTTAAATTTGTAAATAAATTAAAAATTATAATAAAAATTAAATATATATTATAACGATAAAAATCTTCATTATACATTTCGTAATATTTTTGATTATTACTTATTCAATATGTATATACTTATAATTATGATATTACTATTATATAGATATACGTATATATATATATATATATATATATACGTATAATGGAGTTGGTAAGGATAAGTGTGTAATTTGTAAAATTAATTATTATGATGACAGTTCACAATTAATTGAAATGGAAAAAGTTCTTTTATTTTTCTGATATTCTTTTTCTATTGTGTTCTTAACTACATGAAATTTCAAATTTACAGAAAAATATTTTTGATGATTATATATATATATATATAAAATTATATAAAAAATTATTTATATATATAAATATATATATATATATATATATATAATCATCAAAAATATTTTTCTGTAAATAAGAATATTCTATTGAAAGATAAACCATTCATTAATGACTAATTAATGTCCTTTTACATAGTAATTTAAAAGGTACTAGAAAAAATAATGAAACACAGAAAAATTAAAAATAGATTATATATCTACATACATTCGTTTATTTATTAATGAATATTTATGTGTAATAGATTAAAACAATTTAATTTTTTATATTAAGATGTAGATATAATTGTAATTGCAATTTTGTTGTACATACCATGAGGATCAAATTCTGTTACAACTTCAGATAATACGCTACTTCTTATTTCATGTCCTAGCATACCAAGCATTGTACCAATCATATCCGTGCTAACAACACCCTTTTTTTGATGATCGAATGCATCAAATGCCATTTGTAGTTCTGCAAAAAGAGTACAAATAATACTAATACATGAAAATTTCATTGTCTTATATATATATAAGAAACTAAATTACAACAAATATGTAAAAACTAATAACCATCTAAATATAAAACGTTGAATTTTATCATATTTATGATTCTAAATTGTATGAAAATGTACATTAAAAAATAATTTGAATTAATTCCATAAATTAATGTTTGTTGAAAATGTCTATAAAGTATTAGTCACATATTTAATTAATTATGCAATTTATAATGTTAAAGAGTTTTTACTGTAATTATAGTATAAAAATGTATTAAAACTTGAAAAGCTCATCCAAATAAACATAGTTCTAAAAACCAAATTCTATTACATCTTATACATATGATATACGAAAGACTTATTTTTATTACACAATACCTTTTCGTTTTCGTTTAGATCTCATAAATATATTTTATAAAATCTTTGTAAAAATTCACTTTTTATCACACTCACTTTATTCAATATAAGTCATTTGATTATGCTAAATAAATTCTAAAATATGATTTTTACATTATAACGAACTATGTACAAAAAGCACAGAATGCACGAAAAGTTTAGAAATTAGTATAAAACAATATAAATAAAAGGTATTTATTATTTATATATGATTAAAAGATCAAGTATTTTACATTAATTATATTGATTATATATTACAAAAAAATAAACATTGTTTAGAATTAGACTATGGCCAAGAAGACCAGAGAAAAATGTGGGAAAGTGGAAGGGGGTAGCGCTCCAATTCAGTACTTAACACGTCTGCTTGCTTGGTATTTCGTTTATTTTACATATACAATGTAATGATTCTACGTTGACGATGAGAATCGGTAAGATCTTGTCGGTTCTTGGTTGTTGCCAAGTAGTGTCAGCATGCACTACTTGTAGAGGTAGGAGGTCGTAAATCTCCTGATCCTCTTGATGCAGTACGCTTGGTGGTGAAATACTACACTGAAGGTGAGAAGTCGTAAGTCTCTTGACACTTCTTCGTGTGGAGCCACGTGGTGGTAACTTGATTGCTGGTTTCCTCCAAGCTGTCTTGTAGTGTAGAAGGATGAGGAGGGCCTTCTGTAGCGGTTTTGTTGAGAGTGTGTGTAATGGCTGCACTAATATGAGAGAGGCCTGCAACAGCTTCCTTGACTCGGTTTGGCTGAATAATTATTAGCTGACTGGCTCATGACAGTAACGCTTATCTCATGGTGCGCTTGCCTTAAATAACTACGCGACAGCTTTGTTAGCTGAAGACAAAGGGCTGATCATAGATTCTCTGAATCTCAAACAAACATTATAAATACGAGCACTTTTTATTCTTCCATAGATTTTGTTCTTTAGTTTAAACTTATACAAAAAAAATATGTTCAACATTCATAGTTCATTGTGCCTACCTTCGAAAAAACTTCCAATATCTTTGCTTAATAATAATTAAATTATTGATATATTCCTAATTCTTTTACAACTGCAAAATTCAAAAAGTTTTTATTTTATTTATCATTGTGATATCAATCAAATATTATTTCATATATGTATATATACAAAATATTAAGGAATGAATAAAGAGATATTTTTACTTGCAGTAACGCATAGTCATTATAAAAATTATTTAATTATAAAAATTTATCGTAATCAATATATTGCAAAGTGTTCGAAATATAGTGATGTAATTCATGGCTCGAACTGCCAATGCTCCAATAGCTTAATTTGCCGCCCGTAGGTGGAAGAGCTGTACAAGAGTCGTGAGAGTTGTTTAATTATACATTTATTATACAATTTATTACACAATTTACATAAGGGTGGTTTTGAATCTTCTTGAATCTAAGGTGAAATACGCTTCTTGAACGGCATCTTTTATAGGTGTCACTACACAAGATGCTTTTGAAATCGTTCAATTATGATGTGCCCATCATTGCCATCGGCGAGCAAGAATAATGAGGTTGCGCGAACAGTGTACTCACAGTGATGCAGTATCTTGATCTGATCCTGGGTTGAGTAATTTACCACAAAGCACGCGGCAAATGCAAACGTGCGTGGCCGTCCGTTCCTCTTGTAAGTAAAGTGATAATATCAATTTGACCACAAAAAACATGCGGCAAACACACGTGAGTCGTCGTCCTTCCCGTCGATGGTTTATTACAAAACACGCGGCAAACACAAACATGCGTGATCGGCCTTCCGTCGGCGATTGAATACTACGGTTGATATATCCTTTTCTGGTCAATGGATCTTCGCAAATACTTGGTTACTAGCTAACCAATTCGCACGGGTGCGTAAAGTTCCCTGCTGACTTAGCTTTTCTTCCAAATAGCCCTTTTCTATTGCCTTTTCTTTCGAAACATTGGCCCTTTGCCGTTTGTCCCCACCTTTAACGCCTCATGCTCCCACTGAAGGAGCTTCTGGTTTTAGTTTTCCAGATGTACAAACCATTTCGAGTCTCCAGCAACCTTGGCGAGACTTTCTTAGATTTTATGTCTGTTCGATAATTCCTTTTTATAATAGCTGTCGAAAGTTTTCTAATGAAGATAATTCGAGATATTTTTCTTTTCACTCTCGAACACAAAGTAATATATATATATATCCATTATGGAAATAGTAATTATATATTTTTATTATTTATTTGTTCATTGTAATTCATAATCATGTTGAATTTTATGAACTTAATTATTTTGTACTTATAATTCAAACTTTTCAATGAGTATCCATGTCAGTACCAAATCTTTCAAATACCATAATTATTGATTTTAAATCATTATAAACATGTGCTAAAAAGTATTTATGAAATTTGTTTAATAAATTATATTAAAATGATTTTGTTTACAAAATTATAAAAAATAAAAAATAGCTTTGTTCACAACAATAAAAGTGACTATATTGAAAATTGAATTACTAGTTAAAACGAATAATAAATACATACAATTGATTTATATAAATATAAATTACAACAATAGTACACAAATTTTTTACATATTGATATATGGAACATTTTGAGAATTGTAAGAGATACTCTTAATAAATAATATAATAATGATTTATACAGATTTAAATAAATGCGATTATCGTAGTACGATTAAAGAGATGTAAATTATTGATGAAAAAAATTTTACCGTATTTTATTGCAACAAAAATTAAAAGATTCTTAATATATTCCCATTACAGTACCGAGTAGACACACAACGCGCGCACGCACGGACACACGCATATACGCATATAATTGTCAATGTTCAGTTACAATGAAATCCGTATCAGAGTATCATGTTTCAAGTACAATATTAAATATAGAAACAAAAATTCTACTTCAAGCCGTGATACATAATGTATCAGTTTTTATTCTCTATATACTTATTATACATAGTATATTACGTGACTGCATTACATTTTCTGAATTTATATAGTTATGTATAATGTAAAACGGTTTCATGTGTTAGTTTTTATATACTATTTATTGAAAAATATTTATTTAATTGTAACTTACGTTGAATTTGTTCCTTTGATAAATCCTCCTAAAAAATATATGTTTATTATTTTTCAAATTAAAAAATAAAAATATTAATTACTTTAAAAATATATTCAATAAAAAAATTATTATTATTAATTATTAATATATATTATTAATATAATATATATTAATATAAAAATATAATCTTTATTAATTGTTAAATTTGTATAAAACTGACTAAAATATAAGTTTCACTTTATATGAATAGATATGTATCCATCAAGTTATTTGAAATAAAAAAATTTAATACTAGTAAAAAGTTATTAAATATTGCTATTATATTATAAATTATTCCATTTACAAAAAAACCTCTATACAATACAAAAAAATACTATTTGATAACAAACGAATATCAATAACTATAACTGCTTGTGATTCAACTGAAATATATAAATCATACTTATGACTAATGAATACAACAAAGTAATAAAAAGTAGATTGCTGAATTAAATCCAATATTTCTTTTTCCAATCTTTGAATTTGTATGAAATGATTTCGGGTAGACATTATATAACTATACTATATTATTTATACTATATTATTGGCCTAATACACACCTATTCCCCAGTTTTTTTATTGGTTTAACGAATATTAATTATTTTACAAAATTAATCTTATTTTGTTCGAAACTGGTATTATTTCCTGGCTCAAACTACCAATGTTTCGATAGCTTTAATAATTTTCCGCCCGCCCTAGCAGATGCTTGGGTAGGAGTTAAGGGTTGTATAAATGTGTAATAGTGCAAACTTCGTGAACACATGGTTTATTAACAGTTACATTAACAATAAGCAGCATTCACTTCCCACAGATGAGTGTAAGCTCTGTCTCGTCTCAATAATGTGGTTGTTTCTTGATGGTGACTATGTCGTAGTCTCTGCTAATTTTGTAAGTATTAGCAGTAATATATATGCAGTTTATATATGCACACATGCCTGTATCGAACGTATGGGCTCAAAATATGTATGCACACACACCTGTATCGGAAATGTGGTTTCAAAGTGTATGCATGTATACACTTCTGTATAGGATGTGTAACCTCAAAATATGTATGCACACACGCCTGTATAGGACATGTGGCCTCAAAATATGTATGCACACATGCCTGTATAGGATTCGTGACCTCAAAGTATATGTATGCACACATCTTAAAACTATGGTTATTGTAGCCATATGGTTTCTCGTAATGCAGTCAGCTCCCTTGACTAATTGTAAGTTGTAGCACACTTGATAATTAAAACGTGTAATCCTTGCGATGGCTTCATTGTGCCAGTGTAACTGAATGATTGGTAAATGGCAGAAAGCACAGGCTGAATAGTGTATTGACTGATAACTGTTTGACGGATTAAATTACAATGAATGTCTAGGCATAGTGTGCTGCCCTTAAATATCCGCGCGGCAGCTTACTTAGCTGGCACGAAAGCATCGTTGTTGCTGTACTAGAATCTTACATGAGGCGCAGAATGAAAACTCTAGAAAGTTCGAGAATTCTATGAAAAAAAAGGCTTAAGAAATTTGAAGAATTCCATGCGACGTTACTATGCGAAGACCATATAAAACATTGTAGGGCATTTGAAACCAAAACATAACAATTACACGAAAATTCTCGTGTCCAAGCGTTTATAGAAGCTTGAGAGCTAGAGAGACTAGCGATACCGAGGCCAAAGGTCTTAGAAACTGCTTCATCCCGCACACATTCTTTAATCTGTATTAAATTTTGTATAATATTTTTTAAACTGATTAAAAATTACTTTTATTTTAAAATGTATTGGAATTAATTAATTTTTCAATGCAATTTGTTTAAAAACACACTACTATAAATTTCAATAATAAATACTACAGCGTCAGTATAAATATCTACTTTGAATTTGAACGATAGTTTTATTTTTCTTTGTATTTTTATATGATTTTAAAAATGATAAAATGGAGATTGAAATATTAGGAAGACAAAATATTTTATTTTTAATGTAGTAAAACAACAAAAATACAGTAAGTATATTTGATTATATGAGAGCATGAGAAGATAGAAGATACACTGATGTATATATTATATCTCCAATCAAATAAGATAATTCTTCTTTTTGAGGCGTGACTATAAATGTGTTTATAATTATTACTTTTAATACAAATAAGAGATAATTACAAATTGTAACATAAATGTTAAGATAATTGTAAAACTGACTGTCATATATTTTATAAGAATTGCTAATTTTTTACTTTTTGTAGTAAGAGTATAAAATTTATCAAAAGAATTGATAATTATAGTTTTTTATTCTTGACTTATAAGTTTTATTTATGTATATATTTCTCTTATTTCGTAATAAATGTTCTTTTTTATTCGATATTTTATGGATTTGCTTTTAAATACAAATTCAAAATAAAAATTTTAATACTGTAAATAAAACTGGTATAAGCCTGTATACGTTTAAAAGAATAACTTGAGAAACAATAGTATCAATAATTAAATTGATTAAACAAAATTGATTATTATTATATATTTAATATAAGCCATAAAAAAAAGACTCAACTGCATGCATTTCTTGAGTTATCAAAAACACTTATGGAACTTGTATTGATTTAATTCATTACAGATACAACTTCAGTTAACAACTAATTTATAGCGAGTAGTAAATTTGAATGCATAATATAAAATTCTCGTTTTTGGTTGCAATTCATTATAATATATTATTGGAATATATTTAAAAAGTCAAAAAGTTTAATCAATAGTTCAACTCAAGATATTTATTAAGCAAGTAAAACAATTCCTTTATGGACGAAATATATTATACACTCGCAAAGAATACACATTCAAGCTTATGTAGTAAATTATTTTTAATAAAGTGTTTAATAAATATTAAAAGCAAATCGAAAATTATATTATAGAGATGTGTATCATTAAATAATTTTAATACTAAATTAGTACAATATAATAGTGTTCGAGATTGAAGCCAGTTTCAAGACCGCCGATTGCCGGCATCGCCGGCCCTTTAGATCTTAGATTTCTGTAAACACTTGGACGAGAATTTTCGTATACTTGTTATTTTTTGGTTTTAAATGGCCCATAATATTTATATGGTCTTCGAGTAATAACATCGTCCGGAAGTCTCTAAAGTTATTACATCTTATTTTTTCTTTCGTCGAAATCTCGAAACATCTAAATTTTTCTTTCCACGCCTCATGTAATATTCTAGTGCAGCAACGACGATGGTTTGTTGCCAGCTAAATGAGCCGCCGCGTGGATATATAAGGCAAGTACGCGCGTGCCTCGCTCTCTTGCTGAACCACCCTTGCTGAAGCTGCTACTTACTGAACTGCGTTTGCTGCTAACATCTTGCCGTGACTCGACCACAGTGAACCGATCTAATCCTCTACCAGTAGAAGCCATGGTACGGGTCTCGGTTTGCTCTCAGCAGAACCGTCATTGAACGGTCGGTATTTCCAGCAGAGCCGCCACGGAACGCTCATCAACCTTCGGTTTTGTGCACGTATTCAAAAGGCTTAAAAGCTCATTGTAATTCTACATCGCGTTCACTCAACTGTTATTACCTCTCAGTGTTTTAGTATATACTGTGACGACAACATGTGGCCGCTTATTCGGAAATCAACTTAAAAATACACGTGCATTATTAAAAAGAAATCAGCAAGATTAGATAGTGATAGCATAGATAGTGATTTTACAATGAAGCCAATTGGTATAGTAATCATAAGGGGCACATCAGCCACGCAGTAAATCAACACCTTGTCGGCAGCTTACAAGGTACATCTCCTTATATTATTAAATAAGCTAGCCGCACACGCGCAAAATCACACTTCCGAAAACTACCTTTAAAGAGTACGCTCTATCGAACTAACACTTCGACACCGTACAGACCCTCAAAGAGTCGACACAATTGACGCAGCACGGCAATTACATTGTTAAATCCAACAATTTATAGAATAATCGACAACCAATCAAGTCCTTCAGAGCTCCAAGACATGTCATTTATGATTCTTGCGTGTGACTAGTTTCCAACTGCTCCTTCATAATTAGAAACATAATTGATTACGCACCAATTTCCATCAAGACATTTATACTGTTCGATTTTAAAGGGTTAGTTTAAAGCTCGAACTACCAATTCAATAGTTCAGTAGATTAGTCTCTCGGCAGGATAATTTCAAAGGAAAATAATAAGTGATAAGGCTGAAAAATATTATGTATTTAGTAAGACAATGTTTATTATTGTAAAAGAGTATAATAATATTGCACTTTAATGTAGAGAGAAATAATTCTATTGAAGTAGTGAGGGTGTATTCTTGTATTCTTGAATTATTGTAGATTTTATGGATATTACTGTCTTGAAGTTGAGGTAATGCTGATGTTGTAAATATCAGCTGGTGTCGTCAACCAATCATGCTTGTGAGGTAGCATGAGACGATGGTAGTCAAATCAAGTATGCTTGATGGATGAATAACTATACTTGATATGGTGCAAGATGTTTAATGGACTATTATTATTTAAGGGGAGCTGTAAAAGAGCTATTCACACGTAAGAGTGATTAATGGTAAGATGTCTAACTCTTGAAGGATGTAATAATCTGTATTTATAGTCTATTAGTCGATCTGTTGTTGTCCTTTTGTGACAATGTGCTTAAGGCATAGCGACTCTTGCGTCAGCTGTTGATGGCCTGTACGGTTCCGAAGTGCTCTTCAGAAGAGCGTAAGTGTGCCCTGGTTCTGCTAGCGGGCCTGTACGATGTCGAGGGATCAGTTCGAGAGAGCGTAAGTGTGCCCGATCGACTTTAGCGAGAGATGTGACTTCTTTATTTATTAATATAAAGGTGTACCTGGTGAACTGCAGGCAAGGTGTATTAGTTGCTGTGTAATTGATGTCCCCTTTGATAACTATTCCATTGGCTTCACTGTAATCACTATTTAATTTGCCGATTTCTTATTCTTATGCACGCGTGTATTCTTAACTATGATGCCGAATATATGGCCACGTGTCGTCTTCACAGTATACTAAAACACTGAGCGGCTGTTACACTTGAGCGAGCGCGAAGTAATATTACAAATGTGCCTTTTGAATACGCACACGAACCGAAGGCTTGATCTTCCGGGGCGGCTCTGCTGAAAATACCGACCGTTCCATGGCGGTCCTGCTGAGGGCAGATCGAGACCCGTGTGCCATGGCTTTTACTGGTAGATGATTAAATCAGTTCACTATGGTCGGTCACTGCGGTCGAGTCACGGCAAGATGTTAGCCGCAAGCGCAGTTGAGCAAGGGTGGTTCGGCAAGAGATGATTAGCGAGAGGGATTTTCAGCAAGAGGTATCTTCAGCAAGAGAGCGAGGCGCGCCGCGTGCGTCCCTTATATAGCCACGCGGCTTTATAGCCCCTACACTTAGCTAGCAACAAGGCGTCGTCGTTGTTGCACTAATTCTTACACGAGGCGTCGAAGGAAAAATCTAGAACCTTCGAGAATGTTCGACGAGAGAAAAGTAGGAGTAATACCCTTGGGTGATCTTATAGTATTTTATATTTCGGGTCGTAAACTTGCCGAGTTTTGTTTGTAAACATTCGCTTGAGTGCGCGTCCCGGTCCGCACGTGCGTACCAGTCTAAGCGCGCATGCTGTACGCCGGACAGCGCGTATGATCTTTCTTTATTTGAAATTCATGTGACTGCATCAATCCCGAACATACACTCTATCAAGTATTATCATTCTTTCTACCAAGCATACTTGATTTCAAACACCATCTTCTCATTCTCTTTCATGAGCATGATCGACAACGCATGCTGATATTTACAACATCAGCATAACCTCAATGCTCAAGATACACAAGAGGCAACGGCAATACGTGTCAAGATTACGATACGAACAGGAATAGTAGTGTTCGTTTAGAGCACAAAAAATGATCACAACCTCTCAAGTGGTAATATTCAATAGATTATAACCTATCTGTTTTCACAGTAAATCATTATCTCACCAGCTACGTCCAGAGAATAAGGAATTTATCACCCTCTAGTTCTACAATAGAAGCATATCACAACGCCACATTATTATTGAGAAACATATAGGTCATTTATAACCTCATCACGATTAATCATCCCTAAATTGGAAATAAATTGAAAATAAATGGAATAAACAGCAATAAGAATTATATGTGTTAATTATTAAATCAGTGCATTAACCCTTCACTTGCCCACACATTCTCCCACACAACATCTAGTAGATTTCTTAGTTAATTCTACACGTTTGGTTCTACAAGCTGGATTCGTGGAATTAATTTTCATTCGGATACTTATGTTAATATTTTAAAAATTTCAGATAAAATACGATGCCATGACTACCAGCAAGAATTTTAAAATGATCATAAATCAGATATCGAGCTATGAAAAATTTTATTATTTTGAGAAATGTTTACTATGCTGATTCATCGACTTGATCCAAGGTAACTGAAAGATTTGAGATTATCATTCCGCTATAAATGATTTTATTTTTTTATCTTGATGGAATAGAAAATTAAAATGTCAAAAAGGATTTATATATTAAATGAAATGTTTATTAGGATTATAAACAAAAAAAAATCGGATTGATACTGTAATATCAGTGTTGTAATACAGTTGCAATAATAATTTGAGCAATACATGTTAAAAAAATTAATAAGTTCAAATACATGTTAAAAATTTTATTACGTATACATACGCACGCACACACACACACACACACACACACACACACACATGTGTGTGTATCAATAATTTGTAAATAAGTAATATATAAAGTAATTAGTAACATGAACTTATAAATGTAATTATTAACAACAAAATCAGTTATTTTATTCTTAACAGCATAACGATTCAAAATATTTTTAAAATAACATTATTTTAAACTAAACATATTTATTTTGTATCAGTAATAGATATTATTCAATATATTTGCAACATTAATTATATACAAACTAAATAAATGTAATAAAGTTTTCGTGACATGTCTCATTTGCATATTTATCTTATATTGTAAATAAATAAATAATAAATAAATCAATAATGAATTATAATTATAAATAATTATCAATTATTAGAAAAATTAGAAATCTAATGATAATATAGAAATGTATATTATAAAAATATCAATTAAAAACTTTCAAATTATAAAGTAATTTTATCACTTACTATGCAACTGTGCAAAATGCAATTTGTAATTCAAATAGCTAGAATTTATTTTATTCATCTTCCAACAATAGTTTAAAATATTTTTAATTATTGATTAACTTAATGTTTGTGAAAAATGCCTTTTGTTTGTTTTATAAATTAGGATAAAATACCATTATGTTACTTTTTGTTAACAAATATTTTAAATTGAATTTTGGAATTATGAATCAAGGTTAATTTTTGTTTTTATAACCAAAATTTTAAATGATAACAAATATTAAAATTTTTTTTTGGTATTATGAATCAAGGCTAATTTTTGTTTTTATAACCAAAATTACAAATATTTATCGAAGATTGTTTAGTATTAATTATAAAGTATATCAATACAAATAATTAAAAAATCATATAAAAAATGTACTCAAATCTCCAAATTCCAAATTCATTCCATAAAAAACTAATTATATAAAAACATGTTTGATTTATGAAGGTTTTAAGAAAAAATTTAATTTCATACATTATGTTAGAATAAAAAACTATTCAATAAATGTTATTGTTATTAACACTAAAAAAATTAACTGTATTCGTTAGTATAGCAATTTCTAATGCAACTTCTAATATAGAACAATCAAGCCGAGTCTAGATTCATGAATATTTCTTAAATCATATAAAAAGCTTTAACATTATAAAAATGCAATTAAGTATATTAATTCAATCTAATTTATTTATAATTTAACAATTTAATTATATTATATAATTTAAAAATAAAAATAAAAATAGATCATTTTACAAAAAAACTTTTTTTGTAACAATCTTATCTTATTTACTAATAAAATAAAAACTTAATATTAAAAACTATGATTATATTACATACAATTTTAGTAAATTATAAACATAATTAGTAATTATAAATATAATTTGTAATTAAAGTATATAATTATAAAGTAAATCTTATTACAGTGTTGCATTATGTAATATTATATCCATTAACATTAAAATATTTAATACTATTAATTTGTGATATTCAAAATCATTTTAACTGAAGAAATTTTTGATAACTGATTATTTAATTTTTATATATATTTAAATATAAGGGTGTTATTATACAATCTTTCGAATGATTAAAATTCGTAATAAACAATAATAGACTAATATGGAATTAAGATTATATATCTTATAGATAAATGAAATATATTGAATATAATTTTTATGTATATTTTTATAAAAAACGGAAAAAAGAAATTATATAACTCAT